TGCTGTGTCGAGAATACCGACTAATTTGTCAATCGAAATTTTTTCGTTTTCAATAACCCCTGTGTCACTTTCTTCACTATCGGAAGCGAATTATAATGACAAGGAACTTGATTTAAATCATATCAAAGACACTTTGTTTACTTTATTAAGCATTTCCTTCAATGCGCGCATGGGTAAAGCATACATTACGCATAGTCGAAATTAGAAAATTGCAACCAGAAAACTATTTGATGTGTATTCGTGATATTTATAATGACGAGGAATTTGATTTAAATCATATCTAAGACGGAGTACATCGAGATGAAATACTACATTTAGTAAGGAATTTATAAGTGGAATAAAATAAAAACATCTGCCCTGAAGATAAGGATAGTGCCGACAGATCAAACTCCAATTCATTGTGCGCTGCGGCGTTCCCCTCCTTGCCGCAGAGCAGCGTGAAATTGATAAACAGATTTTGGAATGGTTAAGAAACAAAGGATATGCCTTTATCCATTTTTTTGCAGCAATTCCACTGTTTGTTTAATGGACTTCGAAACGTACTCTCGCTTTGTAGATCCTTTACATATTAGTAAATATATATCAAAATTCTGTTTGACATAATTGAAAGTTCAAGCTTACTTTTATAAAATTGCTCTAACAGTCTGCAAAAAATAATAAGCCGGATCCAATTCGAAGATTAAGGTACAACGTAATCTGCAACATTAACTGAATTAGATAATTTGGTTGATCTTTTACATTATGGTAACTTGGCGTTTTTTTGGCGAAAATTTGGCGACCAACTCTCCTACAGCAACCGTCTATTTTTTTTTTCCCGCTGCCATTTTGTCTTCACGAAGTAAAGACATGTTTCTTTTCTTTTTATCTACGGAAGATTTCTTCCAACAATCTACTAGCCGAATTACACTTATGCTAGAAATTTTATCTAACAAAACTGCTTAATCATGACAAATATTCACTGCAAAATTGGAAAAAAGTGCACAATACCATACTCCTTACGCATTTTTCAAAGTAACAGATACACATAAACCATGTACACGCCGACTTATTTTTACTTAAAAAACATCCCAGAATTACACAAAAATGGCATTGCGCACACTCTTCACTATATCCATGTACACTGCTTTTTTCTCATAATTAGAAAAATTTCACGAAAATACAGGACAATTTTCTGAATCTTTAAACCCGGTAAAAAGAACATATATGAAATTACCTGATCTCGCGAAAAAGTACACACACCCTTTCCAAATATGAACATTTCCCCGTATAAAATAATAAAATATCCAAAAAACTTTTACCTCTACATTATCTATTATATTACAAACGTCACTAACTAATTCTACCTTTACTTCATTACAAATGGTTACAAATACTGAGTGTCAAATATTTAAATTATTTCCATGCACGTTTACGCAAATTACTTTACTTCCACCTTACATTTAGAACAATGCATAAAAATAATATCCTCAAATAATTAAAATACTAACTTACCTATTCTTCTTCAGAATCTTGATTACGTGTCCGATAAACTTTTCTTATTTCTGTTTCAGGATCTTTAAAATCATACTTATAGTTCACACCAAGGTACCAGGTAAAATAAATAACTTAATAAAACATCTTTACTTCTATCTCGCACAACCTTAAAGAAACACTTATTACTACGCCTTTCAATTCCACTAAATACCTATTTCGAATTCACTTTAGTTAGGGCCATGGGATCCAAAAATTAACGAACACTGTTTCACACAACACAGAATAAAGGCAAATACAAAATTTCCAGATTTTTTCCCGATTTCCCCCCTTTTCCGATTAAAGAACTGTAATTCGTCCATTAATATCACATGACATATCACATGATCTCTCATTTCCCTCACACAAAATAATGCGTAATCGGAACTGAGTACTGCTCATATTATTACCAAAGTCCCAGGTAGTAACCTTTATCGCCTCCAAAATGTCGCCAAACTACCAGTTACCATGTTGTAAAGATCAGCCGATAATTTTAGCATAGCTTATACCGTCCGTTATACAATAAACGCGCATGCATAAACTTATTATGCGCATGCGCACACGCATATTCGCAGCCGTAAAGGTCTTACGCGCACGCGTAAACGCCTACGCGCGTGCATCAACGCGACGCATGCGCAGAAAATTTGTAGCTTTGATGTCCAGATTATCGATCATTCCGGATTGTGGGTGTCCGAATTAACGACTTTTGACTGTATTTCTAATCAGCAAAAATATATAAATTTGAAGGTGGGAGTTAAATGTTTTAAATTCAATTAACAGATTTTAGCTTGACACAAGCTTATTTAAAGTTAAAAAATCAAGTAGGAATTGTTGAATCATTTCAGAAATTAAATTCTGATAACTCTTCATTTTCCACGATTCCATGCTGATGGTAACATTTTGCAGGGTATATGGAGAAATACTGTTAAGACATTCATTGTGTTACTGCCCGCTGAAAGAGAGTTCTGGTGTTATTCATAAAACCCTAAAAATAATTTCTTTCTACTTTTAAATCAATGAAGTTTTCTATGATTACATTTTCAGCGATGTGGCAACATGCGATTTTTTTTAAAATTATAACTGTGTTCTAAAAATGTACGAGTTGTATCATGTTTACAGTTGTATGTTGGAGCAAAGTAAAATATTTATGTTATTTATTGTATAGTATTTGATTTTCACCCTCCTGTACAAAGAGGTGAAGATAATTTTCTGGTGTGTGTCAGAAGTGGAATGAATATGTGAGAAAAAGCTAAGGTAATAATGTGCATCATCAAATTTTGCGTATAAAAATTGTGTTGTGCTGTAGGATGTGTGTTGTGGGGAAATCGAAAGTGAAAATAAATGGTTCCATTGTTTAGATTGTGGTGAGCAATAATTTAGTTTTTTTTTTTTTTTTTTTTTTTTTATAATGTTTAGTGTTAAATCCTGTTTATTAGTGTTGTATATTGAGGTGTTCTTACTGGTTAATTTCAGTTGATAGTATCTGTGTTGAGTTTGATGTATTCTTTTTTTTTTTTTTTTTTTTTGCTCATTGGGTTTTAATTGTCAATTCAGAGTTTATATATATATATATATATTTCTTTTGAATTAAGATGAGCCTGGAGTCGCTTAATCATTAGAAAATATTCTAGAGGAAAATACAAACTGAAAAACAAAAATCTGAAAATGAAATTAGATTAGAGAAAATAAAACCCTTTCAGTTATAGACGGAACTAGCTTTAGCTAACCGTAGCAAAGAGTTGTCACAGAATCAAAATCTTGAGATGGACACCTCAAATTGAAATATGGAAAATTTAATTAAAAGTGTAAAAACATTAACAATTTCGGTAACTAAAGCAGAATCCTTTAATCTCTTTCCCCGATCAATCGAAAGGGCTTTTAGAACAAAACAAGTGTCTGAAGATTTAAAAGAGAAATCCTATTAAATATTTTGGAGAGAAGGTCATTAACTTAATGATATATATGCAGAAAGACGATGTTAATAATTATGATAAAGTCTATGATTTTAAAGGAATTTCAGCCAACCCCTCATTTCTCAACTCATTAAGAATCATGTCGTAATTTACATGTATTATAAACTGTGAAATTTTATTCGATTGTGATTTTAATAGGGCTTTTTAACAAATATTGTTAAAAAATAAATAAAATTTAATAATGGCCATGGAAATCCGCAATGACTAATGTTATCTAACTACCTAATTTAATTATTTATAACTAACTGCTAACCCTTAAAAATTATCTCTGCATTTTAAACTGAATTATTGCCTTTCATTAATCCTTACTGTGGTCACAAGATAAAGCACAAAAATGTAAAAATTCATGTAAAATGTATTCTTTGCATATAGTGAGACTTAAAATAATACAAAACAGCTTATCACATGTGGTGCTTTAGTGGCTTATTAGAACCTTAAAGTATATTAACTTAGTTAAAATCCCTGGAACTCTATACAGAGCTATTACACTAACTACATCAGACAGAATCCAATTAACTTACAAAACTTGCCAACCATGCCTACATCAGGCCTTTCAGGTTTGTTCTAATCAGCAGATCTCTCTCTAGGCAAGTAGCAGTAGTGACAACATTCAGTCATTTGTTATGAATCATGCCGATTATGATCTTACTTCTCATTTTAATTTATGTCGCTTGACATAAAATCTACCTACTGTTTACTAAAACTCTAGACTGAGCAAGTATGTGACAAAATGAAAAAAAAAAAAAAAAATCAACATAAAGCTAATGTTAGTAAAGCATAAATAAAATGTCACTTATCTTCTTTCAAATATGCCCAACTATTGTAAGTGTAAAATTTTTAATGCTACTTCATACATTTTATAAAGTTTATTTTATTTTCAAGCTTATTAATAAATTTGTTAATTCATATTTAATAATAATTCATCCTACATACAAATCTATTTTATTTTTAGGATAGTATTAGAAAAGTGAAGTTCAGGCATAGATAATAATTTTAATTGAATTTATCCAGTTCCCATATTTGCTGTGTCACTGCTCGCTAAAAGATAGTGCTGCTGTTATTCATAAATAATTCTAAAAACAATTTATTTCCACTTTTAAATAAGCAAAGTTTACTATGCTTGTATTTCAGCAATAAGGCAACACTTGATTTTTTATTATAACTCTTCTGAAGATGTAATGTTATGTTTTTGTATTTTGGTGCAAAACATTTATATGTTGGAGCAAAGTAAAATGTTTACGTTATTTACTGTATAGCGTTTGATTTCTGCCTCTGTGTACGAAGAGGTGAGTGAACACATACCACGAACCAATACTGAACACGCTGCTTCTTAACTGTAAGGATAACTTTTTTTTTTACAACTTGAAATCTACAAAATTGTAATATCTGCATTACCATTGGACTATTTTGAAGTGGGAACATATGTTTTACATATCTCCAATTTAAACTCAGTTTTAATCAATATATTATTTATTAAATTATATCAGAATTTTTAACATCAGTCTTGCCTTTTTATAGGAAAAAAAGAAGATGAATAAAGACTTAAAACTGGTGAGTACCTTTTTTTCAAAACTGAAAGCGATGCTTGCATATTAACTAGCACCTGGTAATATGCCACTATCAGTGTGATCCAAGATAATTTCTAGGGTTGCCATAATATTCATAGAAGAGCGAAGTCATGGAGAAATTACTTGGTTTACTGCCATACATGCAGAATGACTCGTGAAAAGTATTACCAGTTTATAAATATTTTCATATTTCATGTCTTCCAATTAGAGGAAATCAAAATGTGACATGTTTTAAATATATAAAATCATACTAAATTAGAACATCCTGTATTGTATTATAATGCAGATGACTGGAAAAGGTAAAAAGGGATTTTTTCTTATATACATGTCGATTTGCTTTTATCTCCTTATTTTCTTTTTATATATTTTTTGCTTTGCTGTATAAAAATTACCAGGGAATTTCTTTCATGTGCTTTCTTTGATTTATTTATTTTCTGTTTAGATTTAAAATTTTTCTTTTACAGCTTGAAATCTTCAAAATTGTAACATCTACATTACCATTGGTTGCAAACTGTGTAGATTTCTTGTTAGATTAGGTTGTTTTTTAATATGACGAAGCAAATCAGGAGTATCTACCTTTAGAGAACATTCATATAATGGTCATCATCATTATTGTTAAATGCTTAAGATCATTAAATCTGTTCACATCTACGGAAGAGGGTTTAAACTGTCACCAATCAAGAGAGGTAAAGTTATGGATGCATAAATGTACGGTTCACTTACCAAAACTCCCAACTGAATGTCAGTTCATGTTTGTTTCACTGTGATTGGTCAGTTTTGTACAAAGTTGGCATAGATTCAAAGAATTAGAATATCCTTATACTACATTTTGACAAAATAAAGGCTCTTCTGACTGAAAAACTCTTGCCTTAGCCTTATAGAGCATTTCTTAAGGGGAATTTAAACTATATGTGAGGAATATAACAAAAAACAACTCTGCAGCCAGCCCATTTATGTGGTACCAAACTAAACTACCGATATGTAGCTTTCTTAACTACTCGGCTGCTTTTGAACATGAATTTCTAGTCTTCTGTTATATTACATTTTATTATTTGTATGATTATTATTACATGGTATTACTATGGCCAACTGGAAGAACATGGCCTGATTAGCCACAGAGTGACATCACAGAAGGTGTTTGAGTCTCGTGCCTTTGCTTCAGGGTTGAGTATGCACGTTTCGTTAAATGTTTAGATTCTTTTGTTTTAAATAATGCACAGAAATTAAATTTTTCGGAGATGAAATTTTATATCCAATGTTTTCCGATATTTTATACAATTATTTTTACACTGCATAGTAATGATTTTTTAGCATAGTACACTGCATAGTAATGATTTTTTAGCATAGTACACTGCATAGTAATGATTATCTGAAAAACAAAGTTTTAGAATAAATAAATAAAGGTTGCTATTTATTAACATAAATAAATCTTTACAGTTTTATTATTCTTGCTTCCACTAAATACTAAAATAAAATTCTTTAATAAATACTCTGAAAAATACATTTAAAAAATTTACTGTTGATTTTACTAATCCCTAATTTTGCAGGTTTAATTTCGCAGATGTGAAGGAAAGGGGAAGAAAAGGAAGATTCCAAAGTGTAATTAATTAACTGAGAAAATATAAACACTATTTAACCAATTAAAAGACATAAAACTGATTTTTTTAATTATCTTATCAAAATATAATTATTTATTAATCATTATTGCAGTTTTTAATTTTAAGAATAACTTGAATGAATGAAAAACAATATACCCAATGCTTTAAAACTATATATACTTCAAAGCTTTCAAAAAGCATGCAAATGTACTTTTTACTCATTTCGGTTATTATTTAACAAAAAGAAGAGGAGATCAAAAATCGCAAAAAAAATTCAAATTTCCTGAAATCCTCTAGGCATTTGCCAACATACACTAAATCAACTGTTATTTTGTGCAACATTAAGGCAAATTATTATGACTGCAATGATATCTTTACAATTTGATAATAAAGAAGAAATCATAAAAGATTGAACAAATGTTGCTTCAATACTTTCAAGATTCTCAGGAAAGCCAATTAATTTATTTTCCATTTCTATGTCACCTTTTTTACTCGAACTTCATCAATATATAAATTCACGAATTCTTCATTTTCCAGTAATTTTTTTAATTTACGTTTTATATATTTGCAATTAGCTTCATTGTTCCATCAAACTTTAACAGGCCTAGGATTTTCCAGAGATGTCTAATGGATGGAAGGCAGATTAGTTGACTGTCATAGAGGCAACTGTAACAAGTAGCTGACTTAAAGTATAACGATTTGATTTGTTTTATTGTATTATTTCAAAGATCACTAGGGCTACCTGTCTGAGGGATGCCTTTGGAGAGGGCTTTCTAAGGGAAGCTGGCTCGTATACACGTTACACATGGAAAAAATCACGAAAATGCCCTTGCATCGAGCCCCTTTACCTAGATTCGAGCCCATGTAGGAGCTACCAGTGTTTAACGATTTTACTACTCGGTGGTTAGTGGAATTATGTATAATGTATAAGCAAAGACCAGTACCTCCTAGCTATTTTACTTTTATTACACATCTTCATTTGTTTCAAAAATAAAATGTTCTGTTCCTCAAGTAAGGTTCTCAAGTGATTTTTATTCTAGTTATTTTTCTTCCTAGTTATATACTGATAAGTCATAGTTTGATTTTAATGTTTTTAATTATTATTATTTTGACATAACTATAAATGTTTTCAAATTAAGCCCATAAATTTAGTATTTCCATTTAATATATTTTTAAATACTTCCATTTCAACAGCTTCTTGTCCAAGGAACACTGCTGTATTCATATGAAGTGATACATAGATACTTTTCTGAATTTTAGACTGTAGATTAAAACTAAGCAACGAAATATAAATTTCCATTAACAGATTTTATGTAAAATTATATCTGAATCATCTGAAATGTTTAGTTTATTCCATAATAAAGAAGAAAAATCCTCAAAAGATGCAATTTTGTCCTTTTTAAAAAATTCATTAAAAATATCTTTATCTGTTTATCTTATTGGCTCTTTTATCCTCTGTGCTCATCATCGAAGATGTCAGATTTTCAGATAAGTATTTTGGACAACCAGAAAAAATGTATAGATAAGAATTGTTTATAATTTAGGGTGCTCTTTAAAAACTTAAATAATAGTGCCTTCGTTTTTTGATAAATAATCATACCAAATGATATCATCTTCCCCAAAATATTTCTGACAAACAATGTTCATTTCAATTTTTTTATTCAGAAATCTCATTTTAATATATATTTTAGAAACTTGAATACCTTTATATATTTATTGGTTTTATCGGAATTCGATTTGCAGCCTGGAATGCAACATTGTACAGGCATGAAAGAAGACTCATTTTAGCTCTACATAGAAGTCGATAGCTATATTTATTAACAAATACTGAAGAATTAGGTAAACTTAACTATCAGTGTGAACTTAAAAACAAAAACAGCATATTTACTTTACTTAAATTACTTAATTTAGTAATGAAAAATACATGAATAATGAGAAAACAGTGCAATGCTAATGAATAGCACACAAAGTGATGTAATGAATTCTTCCATGCTGCGGTGTCCACAGTGCAGCGCAAAGGATAAAAAGTTCAGAAGCCTTTCGTGACGTCAAATCATGTGACTTTGAAGTTGACCAGGCCATCTAAATTCCCGAAGGCCACGGTATTAATAATGGTGAATTTACTTTCAAGTTTATATTTGGGCTTCAGCATCTATTATTTTCATTGATTTATTATTATTTTCATTTAATTCATCTATTTTTATCTTCATTGATTATTATTTCACTGTTTTAATTTGGAAAGAGGAAATCTTGAAAAGCAGTTAGTTCTTCCATTTTTAGAGTTCAAGCACATTTGTTTAATGTTAGAATGCATATTAAATTATGAATATATACATCTATTTAGAATAATAAATGCATACATTTTTTCCAAACAAAATTGATTTTTTAAATCGGATTAGTCTTTTTATGTAAAATGAAAATGGCTCGGTTTTTAAGCCCATCATTTCAATGCATTTAATTTTATAAAATTTTAAACATTCCTTTTTAAAAACTTTTTATCTTCATATAAAGCTTATGAATGAAGTAATAGGAATCTAAGTTTAAAAACATTATTAGGTATTCATTTTTTTACAAGTATGACTTACTGGACATATATCCTTTAAAGGTAATTGGAAGAGCATGTGATGGATTCTGTAGTTCAGATAAAATTATAAATTAGATATCGGTCTGAAATAATAATTATAATAATAAAACTGATAAAAAACTTAGAATTTAAAATTTTATTACACCAAATAATAAAACATTGACCCTTTCTTATTATCTGGAACCCCACTGAAAAGTTGTGAGAAAGTATTCATGAGGCGATGCAGTAACTTGCAGATTATGATGATTATGGTGCTAAAAGTATTTACATCACAATCCAGTATGGACGTAGGAACATATATTTACGTATTGGCACTTTTAAAATTCAATTGTCATTTTTCTGATTAGTGGTCTTTTTTTTTGGGTGTGTCTCTTTTTCTCATGATGAATTATAAGGCGACCTGCCAATTGATGGAAAAAAAAAATTGCATGGAGATGTAGTATGAAAAACTGCAAGCCAAGTGTTATAACACGATTTGGAAATAGCTTGAAGATAGCTGTATTTTGTTTACAACAGCTGTTCATTTATTGGCAGTGTCCTGAAATTGTGTATGCAGCCAAGTTTGTGCATTCAGCAGAAACAAATTGCTATGCACATGAAAAGCACACCAGTGCACCCCCCTTCTGAAAAAAAAAAAAAAAAAAAAAAGTGCAGAAGTATTTCTTGCAAAAGCTAAATTTTTCATTACTGATATTTTTAGCTTTTTAAATTTTATTGATTGATTGCCTTTTTATGGAATACTTAATTTGCCACCAATTTTAAAACTATCTCTTTGCCTTTGCGTTTTAGTTTGATGAAGAATTAGTTGGCAATGAAGTCATAACTTTTTGGTTGAAGGTGCAGTTAATGAGAAAGCACCGAAATTTTACATTTCATGTTTTAAAAATATTTTATAATATTGTTAGCACCAACGTTAATACAGTACCAGATTTTTTTATGGAATGGCGAAAGTTCATTTAGAATTGCTGAAATTTTTATATTTTTTATTTAAAACTGTAACATTTCCATTTTTAGTAATTTAATCAATTTCAGGGATTTTTTTTATAAAATGCAAATTTCATTTCACATTATTCACCAATAAGCATAGACACTTGAAAGTAATCTCTTGGATTTATTTCACAGTTCAATTTTTTATATTTTATTAATTTTCATTATGAAATATATATCTATTTCTTGACAATGAAACAGCAATAAAAACAAATTTAATTCAAAAAGATTAGTAACTACTGGTTTTCAGACTTCTGATTTAATATTTGTTTTTCTAAAGTTGAAAATTTTTTTGAACAAGATCTTTTAAATTATTTACTTGATATGGGGGGGGGAAGACCTTCATTCTTTTACGTATTTAGTAATTAAACCTGCTGAGTTTTCAGATTTCAAAGCATACTTTTAAGTTTAATGAATTATTTTAAAATTTTTTAAAAGTAAATTTTCTTCCAGTGGAGTGGCATGAGTGAAATAGAGCGGTTAGCCTTAAAGAACAGAGAAGAACATCTTGCATTATTGCGATCATTGAAAATTGATCAGGTATATATATAATCATATTATCTGTTTCAGATTTAGTTAAATAATTTTTTTCAATACATTTATATTTTTTCTTCTCTTCAGGTTAAAGAAGACGTCATCCGAGTGGTTGAGGAGCTTAAACCTAAAAAGAAACCAAAGCCAGTAAAAAGAGTTTATAAGTAAGTCATTTAGCTAAAAAAAAACATATCACTCACAGCAAGGGAATGACCTATTTATGTAGTTAAACTAATCTCTTACAAAGATCATATGGAATTAGAAACTTTTTTTGTTAATTACAGTTAATGATTCAAATGCTTATAAAACATGTCAATAACTCTATAATAATATAAAGAATAATCATTATATAAGTATCTCAAATACTTCTATAAATTAAGAAACTTACTACTTTTAAATAGCTCATTTTTTGGTATTGATAAACAATAAATTGCTGTAATTGTTAGAGATAAGAAATAATATGAAGGCAGTACTTAAAAAGATATACATATATTTGATTTTTAATCATTTAGCTTCTTATATTGTTAAGCAGTAATATTTTAATTTGGAAATTACAGAGCATATATTGTGTGAATAATAACAGCTCTTAGTTCATACCATAACTTTAAATGAAAAAGGAAAAGACTGGCATGTGAGAATTTTTCTAATGTAAAGTTTAAATCTCCTGGGAAATAAACAGAATTACAAAACTAAAGGAATTTTAACAACTTCAAATTCTGCTTATCATAAATTATAGAAATACTAACTAGCAGAATATAATACAATTAATTTGCCTCTGTTTTTAAATAAAAATAATACCCATTGTCAGCATCTAATAAAACCAGATCTTTGCCATTTAAATGTAACTTATAAAATAAAATAAAATCTGAAAGATTTCAGATTTTATTATTACGCCCAAACATGCCTTTTTTTTTTTTTTTTTTCATTTACAGACACATATATGTTTCGAGCACACTTGGGCTAAAGCTACGTTGGGCTAAAAATATTTTAAAAACAGCATATCTTTAGAATTTCTGATAGACAGTCTCGTACACTAGAGATAAAAATATTTTATTCTGTACAGTGTTAACACTGTTAGCTTTGAAATTATTGAGTTTTATAAAAAATTCATTAAGGTTTTACAAAATATGAAATGGACAGTAAAACAAAATCGTAATTCTGAATCTGGTCTTCTAGACATGTTCAGATGGGGAACTATGTTATTCAAAATTTGATGACTGTAGGTACCGTTGCTTTTTCACAATCCGAGAAACGTACATACATGCATGTAGATTCTTCGTTATTTGATTTCCTTAAATACACTCACTTAAGCATAAAGATGTAAAATGCAAAAAAATCAACAAATACTTCTTTGATTGACACGAAATTCGGCAGGAAAGTAGCATATATATTTTTGCATAAAACAAAATGAAGAATTATATACAGAAATGAAAACAATATTAAATTTTTGTGAGTTAACAGATAATGACATACTGGAGACTTAAACAGAATTATGTATAAAGGGAAAATAAACAGCATAAAATGAAAAAAAGGACATTAATAGGGTATGTGATTCCCCCCTCATCTGTATACAAAGTTTACACCTTGTGACCATGCTTTCAATTAGGTGGTCAAACACTGCAGAATTAAGCACTCGCCATTCTTCTTCTAGAGCAGTTTCCAGCTTAATAAGAGTGGCTGGAGGTGGGAAACGTGAAGATACAGCATGGCCGAGAACACCCCAAAGATTTTCAATGGGATTAAGGTTGGGCAAATATGCTGGCCACGCCATACGCGCAATCCCTTCACTCTCCAGGCAGTCATCGACGATGTCAGCTCTATGGGGATGTGTGTTATCGTCCATTAAAACAAAAGTAGAGATAACTGCTGCAGTGTACAATCTCACAATGGGTTCTAGGACTTCATCTCGATACCGGACAGCTGTCAAAGAACCCCGTTTAAAGATGTGCAGGTCGGTGCGGTATCCTAATGAAATCCCTGCCCACACCATAATGCTTATGCTTTGGAATGTGTGTTGTTCGGTGATGTTTTGGCACTGACTACGTGTTCGTTGTTCACGCCATATACTCGCTTGACTCATCAGTAAACAAAATGTTGACTTGTCAGTAAACAAAATCTTGACTCATCAGTAAACATGACATTGCCCCAGTCAGACACATTCCAATTGACATGTTCCCGGCACCACTGTAATCATGTCCCTATTGATTGGACGGGTAGAGGAACACAAACTTGAGGTACCCGGACGTACAGTCCACTCATATGTAATCTTTAGCGTGCAGTAGCTGTAGATATCGCCTTACCAATGGACGCTGTAACCATAAATGTCACACATGGAGGTCGCTCTGCGATTCCGCTTGGCTACAATAGCAATACAGTACAAAGTCTTTAATCCGGATTCATCGGGACTTCGGCGATTCCGGATTAGGGGTTCTTCTGGATTATAGATCATCAATTTAAATCTGGTAAGATGGAATGCAGAAATTATAAAATTAAAAATATGAAACTGCAATTTATGAAATAAAGAGCCATTATGATCTAAAGGGTATCAAAATTTACAAAAAAAAAAAAAAAAAAAAACTTAATATTTATTTGTTTACTTTATTAAACATTTCTTTCAACGCACACATAGTCGAAATGAAAATTGCAACCAGAAAACTATTTGATGTGTATATGTCATATTTATAATGACGAGGAATTTGATTTAAATCATATCAAAGATGGAGTACATTGAGATGAAATACTACATTTAGTAAGGAATCGTAAGGCAAATAAAATAAAAACATCTGCCCTGAAGATGAGGATAGGGTTGACAGGTCAACTTCCAGTTCATTGCACGACGCGATGTCCGCCCCCCCGCCCCCGGAGATCAGCGTGAAATTGATAAACAGATTTTTGAATGGTTAGAGAAACAAAGGATATTCCTTTATCCATTTTTTGCAGGAATTCTACTTTTTGTTTGATGGACATCGAAACATGCTTTCACTTTGTAGATCCTTTGGCAGCTCCAGAATCGGAAACTCTTTTCGACATAATCGAAAGTTCAAGCTTACTTTTTATAAGATAGCTCCAACAGTCTGCAAAAAATAATAAGCCGGATCCAATTAGAAGATAAAGGAACAACGCAATCTGCAACATTAACTGAAATAGATAATTTTAGCCTAGCTTATACCATCCTTTATACATTAAACGCGCATGCTTAAACGTATTATGCACATGTGTACAGGTATTCTGCGCATGCTTAAACCCTACACATGGGTAGAAAGTTTGTAGCTTTAAGGTCCGTATTATGGACTTCCGGATTAAAGACTTTGTACTGTATATCGATCTTCTGCGGGGGTTGTAACCCTTGGGCTACCTGCTACGACGGGCCTTCAAGCAACTGTCTGTGTGGTATTGAATTGTTTCCAAAAACGTGAAATTACAGAATGATGAACGCCGAAGAAAAGAGCAACATCTGTGATCGACTGTCCTCCTTCAATACGCCCCACAGCATGCGAACGCTCAGAATCTTCCATTCGTCTTCTGGAAGTCATAGAAACACGTATGTCTTGAAAACAAATTGTACGAAAGTTTTAAACACCTTCTATCAGCACTTACAATCAGCTTCTGTAACCCTTCATAAAGGTGGCTTCTTATAAGACTGCCTTTTTTGCATATTCTTGACATGAAAGTGCAATTGGCTGTTACCTAACATATTTGTATACTTCCATCTACCTCTGCAGCAAATTGCATCCTCTTCAATTCTGATTGGCTTCCAGAAATTAGCATTTTCCTCTCCGTGCTTAACTTTGGGAAGTGAGTGCATAATGCTGGGTGATATATGGTGTCAACAATTTGAAAAGTGATGCAGCTATTTATAGTGATTTGACACAAAGTGCTGTTTCAAAATTAATAATCCTTTTGGGCTAACGCCCATTTCGTCTTAAAAAATCTAAACATACAAGCAGTTTCTTAACTGTGTATTTCTGGAACAAGGTATTTTTATTATAGAATCCCTAATTGCTACACATATTACTGTTTTAAGTAAATGTGAATTGTGATAGTTCTAACATATTATTACGAAAGTATTAACGTCTAAAGTGAACCATTATTTTTAGAAATAAATAAATGAAGCAATTTGCAGAGATAAGTCAAATTGAGAAATAAAGATATCTAAGGAAAGCATTATTATTGTAGAACCGAGGTTTAAAAAAAAAAATGACGTGTCTTTATAATAGTTGTTCTCTATTAAAGTTAGGATGAAGGGTATTTTTCTTTTGTAAAATAATCTCACTGACTTCATGCAGCAGTTGCTAAATAATATACATTGTAGGATTCAAAAGTTTCCGGACTGAGTCGTAAAAACTTTTTTGCAGTAATGTGACTACAAGAACGTTTTTGTGTTACTACATTCTCCCCCTTTTCTAAAAGTGGTTTGTTTCAAATAACGTGGTTGAAAGCTCGCGGCAACATCGTTTTTTCTAGGTATGTGCATTTAGTAACCAGCGATAGAAGGAAATGGTGTTAGTTGAGCAGAGAATCAATATCAAATTTTGTGTTCGGTTGGGAAAGAGTGTTACGGAGAGTTTTGAAATGTTCAAGCATGTGTAAGGAAGTAAAATGTTATCGAGAACGCAAGCTTTTGAGTGGCATCATCGGTTCAGAGAAGGCAGGGAAAGTGCTGAAGACGATGAACACAGTGCTGTCTTGTGACTTCGTGCACCAATGAAAACATCAAAAAAGTGTCTGCGGTGGTACGTGCAAACAGGCAGCAAACAATTTGCCAAATAGCAGAATCAGTTGGAATATCAGAGGCCGCATGCCAGCAGATACTGACTACAAGGTTCGTACGGTCCTTAAGAGTCCTTAGAAGTCCCTAAATTTTTTTAAATAAATTTTTGGTCCTTAAAGCTCCTTAATTTTGGCCATCTGAAATTTCTGTCTGTTATTACGAGTGCCATTTTTAGTGTGAATTAGCATTTTGGAGGAATATTTTTGGCGATTCACTGACATATATGGTTATCATTTGAATGGGTTCATGGGTTAAAATTTGTTTCTATTTCTAATATAAATGATGGTATACTCGAGTTTCTAAGCAAGAAGTGAAATGTAAGCATTTCGAAATCCTTTTTTTCTAATAAAGAGCAAACAAACAACTTTTTGCTTTTTGGGTTGTGAATTCTTT